CTCACATTAACTCGTACGGGGGCCCCAAGGATTCAACCCATAAGGGGACCCCCAAACACTATCTCCGGGAACTCGAAGCATTCAGCCCTTTAAGGGAACCCCCCAAACATGAACTCCGAAGGGGACCCCAGACATTAACCCAGACATGTTTTGTTTTGTTTGCTTCGTTTTGAGAACTCCTTCTGGTTGCCCGTTCGCACCCAACTTTCTGGCAGGCTGGCAGTGCCTGGAGCTCGCCTGGCCGCTGCGCCTGGGGGAGACCCCGCCCAAGGCTCTCGGGGGGCCCGAGAACCCCAGAACCCCAGAACCCGACAGGGTACCCGGGTGGTGGTCTTGAAGGAAGCCCCCAAAAGGAGCACCACGTGTTTTTCTTGTTTATTTTTTTACTTGTTTGGGGGGGGGACCCCTCTTCCTCAAAACTTGGGATTTGAGAGGATGGTTGGTGTCCTTTGGGTTCCCACTTTAAAACCATCCAAAAGCAGGGGGCTTTTGGTTTTGAGGGCACCATTTCCGTTGCGGTTTCCCAGCAAGTAATGTGCTCAAAGTCAGCTATGTGATATGTGTGCCTTTCTTCAGTCTTTTGACACGGCCACATGGTGAGATCTTTTGGTTCAGTGAGGACCGAGCCCTGGACATCATTAATTTGGGCAGCATTTATGTACCACTTTTCCCCAATCGCATTCATTCCCAAATGTCTGCTCCCGACAAACCACACTCAACAGCAAGAACCCATGGTCAATTACGGACAATTAGATTGTTTCGGAGGTCCCCTTTGCAGTATGGAGTTGGCTATGAAATAGAGAGCCCCCTGAAAAGTGGTTACTCTACCTGTCCTGCCTTGTTACTTTGACCGCCTCAGGCGGTCTGGTGCTTCACCTCCATCGACGGCTTTCGCTCTGGGCTGCGCCTGCGGAGGGATCCCCCCGAAGGCGCGTTACCAAAACGGCCGCAAGGGCCACTTCGGGGGTGGGGGACTCGCAGACACCCAGCGCTCAGTTGCCAAAGCAAAGGACCTTTTGGCCTTTTGCTTTGGACCTGTTTCTTCTACTTGCCCTTTGGGCAAGTCAGCGCTTGCTCTTCCCCTTGAATCAACTAGGAAAGAGGACGCCGGCTGCGAGTCTGGTGTCAAAATGGGGAGCCCTTGGTGGACAGCAGCGGCTTCCCAATTTCATTATCCAAACAGTGGGCATTCCAACGAGGGTGGTTTACCTAGGTTCCGCGAGCCAAGACTAAAAGTTGAAATCCCAAACAGATACTTCCACAGTTGTGGATTCGCAGGGTGTCTGTCCCCTCGACAAGGCCTGTTCCGTAAGCTTATTCTAGGCTTATCCAGAAAATGAGGGGTGCAAAGTAATACTTAAAGGAAACAAGAGCAGGACGCATGTGTTGTTCTCCCAGACCAGCAGCCAGCCACTGGTTTCCTGTTTCTTGAGGGGGCAACCTGTTTTTTTGTGGTTTGAATCAACCGGAACCCCCACAGGTTGTTTGTTTGAGTGCAAACTCTTTTGCCGCAGGGGTTGTCTTAAAGGCGGACCCAAGGACGCCGGGCCGCTCTCCAGAACCGCGGTTCAGGGTCGGCTCGAGTCAGAAACCTGATGGGGTCCTTTGGTTGCTCAAGATGGGCTTGTCTTTTGCACGAAGTTTCTTTTTGGGGAACCGGTTTTGTTCGGGAAGCCACAAGGAAACCCATCGGTTTTGTCCAACGTTTGGTCTTCTTTCTGAGGATAGTGTTTGAAGCCAAGCCAAAAGGAAGCCATGGGTGTTTCTCAACATATCAATCGCTCCCAAACTTAGCGAGGGTTTCCTTTTGGCTTCCCTTTGCCAACTCACAGGGGTTCCATCTCGGGCTACCGTATGAGCCATCAGAGGATGGAAGAGGTACATCGGACGAGCTCCATCACCAGTGAGCTGGAATCTGTGAGGCAACAGATTGAGGCGGTGAAGGAGACGAATGCTGTCACACTGAAGCCGAAGTGCGTCCGGAGAAGGAACGTCGCCCATCAAAAAAGTCCAAAGCCAGAGCATGAGTTCGGAGGTGCCTTGGCCTCTTTGTTTGGCTTCTTGGTAAGAGACCTTTTTCTTTTGGGCCAAAAGGCCTGGGGTGCACCCTGCTTGGGGCTCGTAGGGATGTTCATGGACCCTCTGGTAGGATTCCTGACGGAATCCTATTCAGGAAGCCATTTTCAGCCATGACACATAACAATATACTCCTTCCCCAAAAACATCAAACTTTCAATCCAACTGGTGCTCATGACCCTGTCCCCTTCGGCGTGTTAGCGGCGAGAGGGACGCCACCAAGGACAATCTGAGAGACCAGTAGAACTTCCCACGGGCATCAAAAGAGATCAGCACATGGAGTGTGGATGTGTCACTGAGCAGGGCTGGCTTGTTTCTCTTCTGCGAAGCAGGTTGGATCGCCCCAATCTGACCTCGGATTTTGGCCAGTGGCACTGACTCTGGATTGGTAAGCCTGACAGATTGATCAGGGGTTTCTTCCAAAGGTCAAGGATGTCCAGAAAGGAACGCCCTTTCCATATGCGTGAATCAACCAGAGCTTGAGTAATCCTGACTTGACCCACCCTCGTCCTAAACATCACAACTCAACGATTCTCGTTGTTGACAGCTCCAAAAATGCGAGGGCTCGGAGGCATTGGGTGCCTGATGGCTTGGATTCCTGAGGCCCTCCGTTGCGCTTCTTTGCGGCGCGTATGGTGCCGCGGAGCTGCAAGATCCTGGCGATCTTCCAGGCGCGTAAAAAGGATCCGCCCGAAGCGAAGACTCCCAGGTGTGGCCATAGGTAACCAATAGTCGAGATTGTTTTGTATTGGTATGCAATTTGGTTTTGAAAATGGGAATTCGAATTTTCAGCACTGTTCTTGTTGGTTTTAACATCTTTATATCACTGGACATATTTTCTTATTTGTGTTTCTGGAAGGAACAGCTAGAGTATTGAACTTTACGGGGTCTTAGAAAGGGATGATGATCGGGCGTCACGTGACGCAAAACCTCCACCTTGGTCGCGGAAGCAAAGACTCTATGCGCGTAAGATGGTGGTGAGCTGGTGGTGTAAGCAAAGATGACATGACATAGCAAATCATGACACGTTCACGTTGATTAGCAGATCCATTGCCTGGATATTGATTCATTCTATTTGCAGCCAATGGATATCGCATTTGCTAGTTAGACGAAGCGTTGTGGGCTTGTAACTGTCCATCGTCTGCCAATTATGCAGTCGCTTCCCTGGATGTATGAGATCTTTGCCGCCTAACATGACGATGGTGGCAACGATTTACATGCTGGGTTCAGTGTTGAAAAATGAACAATGATATGGCAAGCATCGCGTGACGGTGCAGCTCACACCAAAAGCCCCGAAGCCTCTGACTCCGTGGGCTCATCGGCCCAGGTGATCCCAGGTGAGCGTAATGTCGGCTGGAGTCCTGGAGTAAGTCCCCCAAAACTGAAGGATCGGACACCCCCCCCAATCAGTCGGTCAGGAGGTTCTGAATCTTGGGTTACCCTTAGTTGCAGGTTGCATTGCAGCCTTAGCTTGCCTTTTCCACTGTTTGCCTTTGTGGTGCTTCTCAATTCTCCCTTTCAAACGGCAACAGGTTACGTGTTGCAGGTCTATGTCTGGCCCAGGTTAGGAGAGTCCCTTCCTCTCTCTGGATGCTTCACCATGGCTTTTGGGTAGACTACTTCTGTTCCGATGGGATGTGATTGTTTTGGGAGGGCTTGAAGGCTTGGACTAATGAATGACCAGCTTGGATCACGACCAATCTGATTCTGCACCATGGGGTTTGGGTAGACAGCTCTGGCAGTTTGGGAGTTCCGGTGAACTTCATGACTTTGTTTTGAAGGCCCTCCGCAACCCCATATTTGTGCGGCCTTTATAGTACACCAGTCCTCCAACTGATCGAGTTTCCCTTTGAAGGGAGGTTCGGAAAGTAATGGCCCAATAAAAATTGGCTGGTGTTCGTTAGGTTTCCCTTGAAAAAGACCAAGCAACAAAGGGTCCGAATCCCATTTTTGAGACACAGAAGCAACTAGAAGTTGGCCAACGTCAGAGCCAATGCCAACTCGATCGATTCGAGTCCCTGGATCTTGACTCCAGGTGGACAGCGCTTTGCTCACCTCGGGTGCCACAGAGATGCTGGCGGCGCCTGTAGAGATTGAGCTGCGAGCCTGCGAGGTGGGGGGGGTGGACGGGTCACTGGCTATGCTGAGGCCTAGTTGGCGGGTTTGGAGGTGGTTTAGGGTTTAGGGTTTCAAGGCTGTTTTGCAACTGCTTAGAAGTGCCCAAGAGAAAACCAGTCAAATCCTGAAACAAACGTGTCTCGTGCTTTGGTTTGAACAATATCTAACAAAAACAATACCCTAAAGAAGGTGGTTGCCAAATAGTCCCTAAGTGTCTAGCGCTCCCTAAGCGGGGGCTGGGGGAGGACTCAATGACAACAAATCACTGCCCAGATGGACCGAAATGGGACTTCCCCGTGCTGACGACTGGGTAATCACCTGGGTTGAACATTCCACATTGTATGATTCGAGGGTAAGTAGCCCTGTTGAGTATCCATGTCCTCATTCTGAACTTACCCTTCACAAGGCGCCATGTTACAATGTTATATCATGGTTGGTATTTGGTCCATACGTCTTTGTCAGCAGTCCCCTATGTTGGACCCATTGTAGAACGTGGGTTGTAAAGGGTCAAGCTTGGCAAACTAGACAAGTGTTTGCCGGCTGCAAATAAGGGGACTTGTTGAAAGCAATCTATATTATATATATATATATATTATAATATGATATATATATATATATATATGTGTTATGTATATATATGTATACACACACACATATATGTGTCTATCTATGCAACGCCCCCCCCTGGTGCCTAGGTTTTGCTTGATTTCAGCGCGCAGGCTGTAGAGTTTAGTTTTTGTTGCCATAGATTTTAAGCACAGACGAATGGGATTGCAGTCCATCATGGCAAGATCCGAAATGTCCCAATATGATACCCTTTCCAAATAGGAGTTGACTTCAACTAGAAGTGGAATTTTCAATATAATTTGGTTAGGATATTGTTTTCATAAATCTGTTTATGCTCAACATTGCTCAACTACAGCTTATAGAAGCAAATCCTTTCCAAATAGGAGCTACATGAGAATATAAGTATAGTTTCGGGCAAACTCCAACTAATCTTCAACAAAATTAGTTGGGAGTTTATTCCCAAATATAATCTAAGTGCTAGATATAATATAATACGAACACAACTCAATTAGCTTTTCATAGTAACAATTAAATAGAGACTACTTCTCAAATTTAGTTCGTATTGAACATGGCTAAACATTTAGGGGACTTCTACGAGGAAATTCGAAATACGATCTGTGTTATGTAGATCCTGGCCCTTTTGCAGCATAAGGAAGGTCCGAAGTTAAGCTTGTTAGACGGTGTCCCAAAAGGAAATTTCAAGGGAAGAGAGGTTCAATTTCTAAAACTATTTCGAAACAGGGATTCTAGCTGAATCAGTTGTATTTACACTTCTATTTGCACAGGACAACACAATTCATTCTATCTCAAAAGGAGGAGGTAGTAGGTGAGCAAATGTGGAGAGGTAGTTCAAGAGGGGGTCACGGTGTGTGAACATACATGCATGTGTATATATATATATATATATACATATATATATATATATATATATATATATACACGTACATACACACATATATAGTACCCGCAATGATCCTGGGCCTCTTCATAAAAATACCGCAAAATACAGTGTTTTTGAGCACTACACCTACCTTTGTTTACCTCCTGGAGAAGGGTCAACATGCTTCATAGCTAACATGAAGCAAACCGCTCACCAAAAGCACTTGAAAGTTTGTCTAACTAATAAATGGAAAGTGTTTCCACTGGATCGCCAAGCACTTGAAAGTATTTTACCACTGGATGGAAAAGGTCAAGATTGAAGATTACACAGAACACTTTCCTGAGAATTATCAATCCTGGCCAATCCCAAACAACATTCAAGTTCTTCTCACTTGAAAGTGCTTTGCCACTGGATTGAGGATTCAATATCGAGGATTGCACAAACAACAACTTTCCTGAGAATCATCCATCCTGGTCAAACCCTAAAAATGATCAAGTTGTTGTAACACTTCGAACGTATTTTACCACTGGATTGAAGAACATTCGAGATTGAAATATTTCACGGAAAGCTTTTTCGAGAATCTTATTGAACACCGAGATTATGGGACAAACCTGGAATTTATGTGAATATAAATATTACCAACAAATATCGGATTCAATATTCAATATTTGCAGAACAATATTATTTTCAAGTCTTGAATCTTGATTCCCAGATTTATTTAAATATTTTCAAAAATATGAGATTCAAGATTCAAGATTCAATATTTCAAAATAATCTTATCTTTTGCTGGGAATCTAGAATCTTGAATCTAGAATCCATTGTTTTTATACAATATGGGACGCAAGATTCAATATTCCAGGATTCCAGAAAGGATTGTTTGAAGTCTTGAATCTTGAATTGCAGATTGTCACATTGAACGTCTCCCAGCAATCTTGGGTCCAGAATTCTTAATTGTAGAATTGTGGCACACCCCCTTCCTTGGTGCCCAAGTTTGGCCAAAAAATGCAAAATTACCTGAAACAAATGATTGAAATCAGGCAAAACCTAGGCACCAGGGGGGGGTTACCATATATATATATATACATATGTATGTGTATGGCGTCCAAACATATATATATATATATATACATATACATGTATATCCTGGAAATCCGCCACGGGAAACTCTACAGCAAGTGATTGGACTCCCCCGCGGTGGTTTAAACAAGTGCTTGGCCCAGCTCCATCCTTGGCCCATAGGAGCTGCCGCTGTTGGAGCCAGAGGCTCGCTCCGGGAGCGTGGCTCGGGCTTGAAATGGCCAGCCTTAACGGTTGGAACCTCCAGGTGCAAGGCGCACCCAATCAGCCGTCTCACTTATCTAAACTTAGCGTTTTTTATGGCCGGTCTGAAGGGTTAGGACGCTCCAACATGTCCAAAGGTCACCCAATCAGCCGTCACACCCATCTAAACTTGTTGGGAAGATCATCTGTAAACAGAACGTCTGGACTTTGCAATCCACAGTGAGTTGGTTCGGATTGGGCTTGAACCTAACCTTCAGCATTGGGATCATGATACTTTCCTGTCCAGTTTCCAAGCTGATAGCATATCGTTCTCAAGCTTCAGCGCAGGACCTAAAAGTTCAAGTCAGTGGGAAATATGCGTCCTGTTTCCCATTTCCCGCGCAACTGGAGGTGAGGGATGCCACCGCCCACAAGAGGTGGCGTACTGAGGTTGCCAGGGTGCTCTGAGGTCTGAAAGATGGCCCAAATTTGTTTGGGCTAGAACATGGTTTTGGTTTCCTTGATTTGGCTTTTGACTTGGTTTGGGGTTGGTTTGGTTTCCTTTGGTTTTCCCTGGAACAAAACTCTCGCCCAGTTGT